AGAAGAGCCTGGGTTTAAAGGACAAGGGAAGGGAATGATCATTTCCAGAAGGGACATGAGACTGGCCCAGCTTTCAAAACAAGCCCAGGTGTAAATGGCTGTGTGAAAATCACACAGAATAAAGCCATGAGGTTGAAAATTCTATGGGAACAAATCAATTACTGCCATTAAGGGCAGCAGGATCTGAGGTTGGTCTAGGAGTGGTTTACATCCATTCCCTGGCTCCACTGATGGATCATCATTGAAAGGTAAAATCTCCCTCCCAGTGTCTCTGCCTCCTGATGCTATTTGTCCCCATGCGAGCAGGGCAGGCAAGGACTCCCACGCATCCATGCAGTGCTCAGGGAAGAGGTGCTGCCTTACGGGGCACACAGTCAGAGAGCTCCCATAACTATTTTAGGATGGAAACCTCAGGGCAATTCCCCAGAAGCCAAGAAATATAAGCCCTGCAAAAGAGCATTTCTGAGGGTTTGGAGAAGAGAAAAAAACAAATCAAAACAGAACTGCAGATGACACAGGACGTACAAATAACACTTTCAAGCATTATCCAAGTAATGTAAAAGCTCGAGTCCAATTAAAAACATTTTAGAGACTACAAACAAATTAGCTTCATATTTTTTAATTACATGCCACTTGCTCTCCTTGGCTCGAGCTGGCTCAGATCACAAAAATCCATTTCACTTTCAATCTTGTACATTAGCACAAGATTGCAGAGCTGGAAAACATCTCTCCCATTTATTTATATATTTAAACATTAACCCAGGAGAGCAAGTGCTCACACTCCTGAATCAAACCTTATAACAGCTTGGCTCAAAGGTCCTCCCCTTTAAGCTAAGACTTCTAAATGAAGAAGCAGGCTCGTGGCTGCATTAAGCTGCAGCATTTAGCGTGAGAGCAGACAACAGGTAACACATGCTGGGTGCCCTGCAGCCCGCTGCTGCTGGGTCACTCTGGGATCAGGCCCTGCTGCTCTGCAGATGGTTCTTCACATGTTGACCCCATTCTACCTCTTCCAGTCAACCTACACTGACCAAAATCGCTGGTATTTTGTGGTTTCAACACTAAGAAGCACCAGATTCCTTGGCTGTAGCAAGTACTTTTCACATGAGCTTTAATGAGTCCTGCTCTCTGGCTACTTCTCATTTGCCCAGCTGTGATTAGAGGGAGCAGAAGGAGCAGGAGGATAGTTAGCTTTTTAAAATACATCTCACTGCAGTGATGGATAAACATTACATCTTCACTGAGCTCCTGTGTAAGAACAGGCAGCTACATTCCCAATGCCACAGAACCACAAAATGTGGGACTCGAGTGCAGGGGTCACTCACTCAGCCAGCAGCTCCACCTGGAACACGTTCACAGACCAAGGTGTGCCCACAGCACCCACACCTCTCCCCATAGCACCACAAACAGCATCCTGACAGTGTTCCCTGCACAAACCTTGCTCCACAGCAAGAGCCACTCCATCCAAACACAAAATGCAGCAGGAGCTCTGTCCTGCGGAGTGCATCCTCCCAAGGAAGGGACGTTGTTCTTTGAAGACGGAAGAGCTACTACAGACTACTACAGAGTAATGGAATGGGTTGGCTTGGAAGGGACCTTACAATCACCCAGTTCCAACGTGGGCAGGGACCCCTTCCACTGGAGCAGCGGGCTCCAAGCCCCTGTGTCCAACCTGGCCTTGAACACTGCCAGGGATGGGGCAGCCACAGCTTCTCTGGGCACCCTGTGCCAGCACCTCAGCACCCTCACAGGGAAGAGCTTCTGCCTAAGAGCTCATCTCAGTCTCCCCTCTGGCAGGTTAAAGCCATTCCCCTTGGCCTGTCCCTACAGGCCCTTGTCCCAAGCCCCTCTCCAGGTTTCCTGCAGCCCCTTTAGGCACTGGAGCTGCTCTAAGGTCTCCCCTTCAGGAGCCTTCTCCAGGCTGACCCGACCCAGCCCAGCTCTCCCAGCCTGGCTCCAGAGCAGAGCTGCTCTGGCCCTTACAGCACCTCCATGGCCTCGCTCAAGCAGGACGGTGTACTTGTGTACGAGCCCAAACACAAGTGTGGCAGATTTGCCATCATCCCCTTCACCCACCGGGTGTTTGGCAGCTGATCTGAAATCGATCTCAGATTGCCCCAATGTCACACAGCTGTGAAAGAACCACCCGAACCCACGCAGCCTCCTCCGCTCAGCACAGCCCTGGCACGGCAGGGGCACACGCTGCTGCCAGGGCTCACCCAAGGGTCCCTCGGGACGATGCCTTACCACCCACCTGCCCCTCTCTCCTCCGAGCTCGCAGCTACGGGGAAGTTTGTAAGACACGAGCGGTACGGGACACAGGCCCGCGGGGGGAGCCGGGCCTTCGCCCGCTGCAGACCCGCCCCAGCAAACGGGCGCTGAGGGAGCCGGGGGCCGCAGGGAGCACCCCGCAGCCAAACAACGCTCCCCGCGGGTCACCCCGGCAGAGCCCAGCGCTCCCGGAGCACGGCAGAGCTGGGCAGAGCGGAGCCGTTCTTCACCCACCCAGCCCCGGAGGGGCCGCGCACTGCCCCGGACCCAAGGGTCCAACACCTGCAGCCCAACCACTCCGGTTCCACTGACCGCCCCCCGCCGGTTCACACCGATCCGCCCCAAGCGTTATCCCATGGACCCCGGGCGAGCTCCCGGCCGCCGCTGCCGCTGCTGCTGCAGGGGACACGGAGCCACCACCGCGCCGCCGGCTCGACCCTCCGGTGCCGCCTCAGCCCGGCGGGAGGGCGCGCAGGGCGGCCCCGAGCCCGCCCGTGCATGGAGCCCCGCCGCCCCACAGAGGAGGTCTCCCGCTCCCCTCACCTCCTTCTTCACGTTCCACAGCAGCTTCTCCTTCACGGCGTCCGCCGAGCAGCTCATGGCGGAGCGGGAGCGGGGCCGCGCTCAGCGCTGCCCGCGGGATGAAGGCTCCGCCGCTCCCGGCCGCGGCTGCTCCGCGCCGCGCGGACCCGCCGCCATCTTCCGCCACTGCCGTGACGTCAGGCGGAGGGCGGAGCCAACGGGCGGGAACGCACCTGCCGCCCCCGCCCCGCCTGGGGGTTGCCGTGGCAACGGCGCGGGGGCGGGACCAGGCCCAGGCCCGGCGGGAGCTCGCTGAGGTGAGGAGAGGAGAGGCGCGGCCATGGGGCGGCCCCGAGCCCTCCGGTACCAACCCGGCCATGAAGCGGCCCCGACCCCCTCCGGTACCAGCCCTGAGGCACCCCCGGCCCCTCCGGTACCAGCCCGGCCATGAGGCGGCCCCGGCCCCTCCGGTACCAGCCTTGAGGCGGCCCCGAGCCCTCCGGTACCAGCCCGGCCATGAGGCGGCCCCGGCCCCTCCGGTACCAACCCGGCCATGAGGCGGCCCCGAGCCCTCCGGTACCAGCCCGGCCATGAGGCGGCCCCGAGCCCTCCGGTACCAGCCCGGCCATGAGGCGGCCCCGAGCCCTCCGGTACCAACCCTGAGGCAGGCCCGGCCCCTCCGGTACCCACCCGGCCATGAGGCGGCCCCGGCCCCTCCGGTACCAACCCGGCCATGAGGCGGCCCCGACCCCTCCGGTACCAGCCCTGAGGCAGCCCCGGCCCCTCCGGTACCAACCCGGCCATGAGGCGGCCCCGGCCCCCTCCGGTACCAACCCGGCTATGAAAGAGCCTCGATCCAGGGAGCCCATTGGATCAGTACCGGAGCACGGCTGCGGCACACCGGCCTCGCTACAGAAGGGAAGGAGGGGGTTGAAGCATGAGGTTAGTGACACGCTAAAGGTGCTTTATCTAGAGCATCTTCCCGTGTTTTCCACTCAAAGAGTAAGCAGCAGACTCATGTGGTTCACTTCCGATCCTGGCAAAAGGACAGCACTTGGCAGAGCCACAGGGCGTGCTCAGAAAGCGCTCAAGCTCTTCCTCCCAAAGCAAATAAGGACGTAGGCAAAAGCCATTCCCTCAGCCCCGGTATTCAGGATACTCACTAAACCAGAGAGCCCTCCAGCTGCTGCTGCAAACCCTACTTGAGCTGTGCCTGCAAAGGGAAAGATGCCATTGGAATGCCCAGGCAAAGGGAGAGTTCCCAAGGGAATGGTGCAGAAAGGAGCTGGCAGGAGGAGCTGGGCAGCACCAAGGCCAAGGCAGACCTCTGTTAGTGCAGGCACAAGAGGGGAACGAGGAGAAAAGCTGTTCCATTTCTTAGAGAGGCGGCAGAGAGGCTGAATCCTGTCACCCAGTCACAAGAACCCAAAGTCCCGACACAGTGGCTGCTTCCACCAGCTCTCACCCAGCACAAAGTCAGGGTAGGAGCACCCACCTTGCAGGTAAACCAATTCCCAACAGCACAAGCGAGAGCACAGCCAGCATGCGCCGGAAACCACAGTGACACAGGAGGTTTCTTCTTCCAAAGACACTCAACACTCTTCAGAACAGTTTTTGCAGGTGTTGCTCGCAATAAAACCCCCTGTGGCTTAGTTCAAAAGGCAGGGTGACAGGAGCAAAGGGAACAGCTACATAGGACAGACAGGTTATCTTGGGTACCTCAATGGTACACCTACTGCAGAACACACACCAAACCTCTGGATCCAATTCCCTCCAGGCCTCCTCTGTCACTCAATGTTAAAGATTTCAAAAGACAAGTGAGTTACTTCTGTGATAATATAAAGTGTGTAGGCTTAATGCAACATCAAAGTGTTCTGTGATTCTTACTAGGAAATGAAGTTATCTCCATGAACAGGAAAAGCCACTGCAGCCACTGAAATGTTCTACAATTAAAGGAAAGCCCAGAGAAAATCAAAGCCAGTTGCCTGCAGAGCACCTGTAAGTACACTGACACTTCCTACACACAGCCAGCACTTGCAAGGCATGGGTGAAACACAGCAACAGCTCCATCTAACACAAAACCCATTTGCTGATCCGGGAATTCCATGGTTCAGGAATCCTAAATTCATGGTGAGGATCATAACTCAAATGCAGAACAACAGTGCAGAGACCAACAAGACAAAAAGTTTTGATGCTGGAAAAAAAAATGACAGAAGACAAAATATAACACTTTATTAAAAATTAGTGTTCCATTTCCATTTAATGCACTGATAAAAGAAAAAACATTTTAATCAAGAGCTAATATGGTTACTGCATTAACTAATTATTTTATCCATAAGGGTGACCCTTAAAAGTTAGACATACAAATAAAACCAAGCCTGATGCTATAAGAAAACTGCTTGATCCCAGAATGTCAGTTTAAACAAGATCAGAAATCATATTTACTATCCTCTGGATCTATTATAGAAATCCAAAGACCTGCACTATTATTAAACAAATGAAGCTTCAATGTCCCTCTGAGGTAGGGGAGGGTCTTACCACCATTTTATTACAGATGAGGAAAAATAATGCACCTACAGAAAACCTGGCTTGCTGTACGTCACTGTGTTAGTGGCAAGGCTGGAAACAGGACTCATGCCCACTCATGGCTTAATAAAACCTCAGCTCTCCTAGCAGAATGGATGGTGTGAAATCTGGCTGTAAAGGTTCAATGCCAAGGATTGTCAGAGGATATAATCTAATTGCATAAGATAGGGACTGCTGGGCCAGACACATTCAGTTAAGGAATACTTCATCGCTATTTCCTAGAATGAATTATGTCTGAAAATCAAAAAACCTTGAGAAAAAGAAACTCTGAGCAAAACCCCAATAAGCTTTGTGCCAAGTAGAATGCAGCTTTTCAATAGCTCCATAGTACCAGTCCCCCCTATGCCCTCCCAGTCTCCGTCACTTATTTTATATTTTAACCAAGAAGTGCAAGAGATAAAAAGCCAGTGGAATGGGACATTACCATAGGATAAACGTCTCCTGCTCCAAAATCTAAATGTCAAGGTGAAGGTTAAACATTTAGCTTTGTCTTGGCATTTACGGAGCAGTTGGAGGCTGCTCCCCTGCAGAGCTCTCTCTTCTGACATTATTGCCTAATTAACACTGGTACTGAGAAGCTGTTTAACATCACACACTCACTCAAGGCACCACGTCTCCTTCTCCCGTGAAGGACTCAGGCTGCTTTGCAGTATGTGAGGACCCCATTACAGAAACATGCAACCCCTCATTACAGTACTGGTGTACAGATGGCAGTTAATGGCGTCCATTCCTCCTCTCAATCTAACATCTGACTGTGCAAAAGTTCACTTAAATTTGGGAGTGAAAAGGACAGTAAGGTTTCAGAAAGAGCTCCAGCAGCTAACGAATGCAAGCTGATGTGGTTAGAATTCATCCATTACAAATGAAGCAAAAAGGCATTTGTTCCTCCTAAAGGAGGCTACAAATTCACAGACACATCAGTAAACACACCCAGCATGATGGTCTATGGAGGAATCCATTACAATTCTCTTACCTTGTAGACAAATGCCTATAATTAGAACTCTGTTGTCCTAATAGGGATCATAATTTGAGATATATAAAGCCAGCAGAGAATACTCCTAGGAAGCACAGCTGGCTGCCCTCTCCAAAGGTAGACAGCTTACTACAAATGAGTGAATGCTGCATTTCAAAACTGCACCATCCTTTTCAGTGCCGCTTTTTCTCTGTTATACCAGGTTGTACAATTATGTTCTAGAATGTTCTTGCCAAAACAATTTATAGTCTTCAATTAAGGAAAGCACAATTAGGATTAGAATACACAGCATGTGTCACCTCAAAACTAAGGTATTTGAAATTATCAGAACCTGGTAGCACAGAGACTGTAAAAATCTTCATGCCATGATTTTAGTGGAAAGGACATTCAGTTAACACCCTGTACTGGAGCAGGACTCCAGAGAAAATAGTGCCCTATCACCTGTACTAGAGAAGTGTTCAACCCATGAACTGTGTGACAGCTGCAGCTACATCTGCATTTCATTTACTGAGATTTCATGTAAATGATCCAATTCTGTAAGCATTCAGGTAAGAAAAAACTCCAGGAATTCCAAATTTTACCAAAAAACAGCAGCCCACCAAGGGAGGGGATCTCTCTAACACTACATCATTTCAACCTGGTGCACGTCTGAATAGCACATCTCCACAGAGGATTTCCTGCTGTCCTCCTGTTCCTGTCTGTCCACCAGTGGAGGGAACCACAGCACTGCCAGTCAAACCCAGCCACAGGTATTTAACTGGGATCTCTGCCACATCCTGAAAATCTTACCAGGACAAAGAACATCAAGACCATGGTTTTGAAATGTCTTTTGAATAGATGCTTATGCAATTAGTTTTCTACTCTGGGTAAAGCTGACAGACTGACAGCGTTCTGTCCACACTGGCCAAGCACTCTTTAATATAATTCCAGTTCTAGTTGTATCTTAATCTAAAAGCAGATGCTTTGTGGTCAGTACTAACTGGGGGTAGAGAAGGGAGAATGAATGGGGATGAGAGAAGAAGGTGAAATGAAGAGACAACCTGTACATATTTAAAGAACATTCCTAACCGCTTACAGTTCTGATATTCCACAAATACCAAGAAGTTATTTTGCGCTTTTCAGAAGATTCTCACAATCCAGATGGTTCTCAAAACAGCTTGTTTCCAAGATTAATTTCATCTAAATTCAAATCTGAAATTAATACTACTTGTTGGCTATGGGAGACAGGGAAAAAAAAACCTAAATAAACCAAAACACATGCTTTTCTCTGCTTCTTAGAGAGTAATAATTCACAATTTGAATCCATTTCATGAATGAAACCTGGGAGCACAGAATCTGACCACAGAATGAAACCCTCTGGACTAGCATGTGGGTCAGATACTCAATTCTCTTTCATATGCTCCTTCCCATACCTGTACTACCCACAGAAAAGAAAGGCAAAGATGCCATTTTTCTGTTGATGGCTTCTTTTAAACACAGTTTTGCTAGGCTAGCATCATCACTCACTCTGGTAACACTCACTATGATAGTAACAACAAAAAATAGTCTGAATCATTTGCCAAGACACAGAAGTGCCACACATGGAGGCACTTACCTGCTAGAAGATGCAAAAAAGTACAATAGACCAAATGGATGCTATTAAGTGCAGACAAAGACCCCACCACTACAGGCTCTGCTGGGAGCTTCAAAGCACCCACCACAGCGTAATTTAAATAGTATCAGTGGAGGGAAAAAAATTAAACTATCCACATCACACTCTAACAGAATTAAAGAAAAAAAAAACCACCAAGATCTTTGTCACAACTCATCTCAGCAGCTGTATTTTCAGTGGCACAATAGAAAAAACAGCTGGAAAACAGCTTACAGAAGAAATATAAAAAGAAAAGAGGTTATTAAAGAGGCCTTTCACAAAAAGGCAGGTGCAACACCGGGGCCATGCTGCCTTCTGAATGTGGGGAGAATTAAGGGAATTCCTGACACAAGCAGAGGCCTGGCTGGGCAGTGAAATCCTGACAGCTTGCAGCCATTACTGTTTTCTTATCAAGCCTCAACAGTTTCAGTTTCAAAAACCTAAATGAGTGGAAAGCATTTTTATGTTCCTTCCACTGCTTCTATTACAACCAAACCATCTACCATCTTAATTCTACTTGTGACTTCACTGTATTCATTTGGGATTATTTTCTTGTCAGGCTTTTGCACTAATTTGCTTTAAAACTTATACATAAATTTGGCACTGGCCAAAACAGTTCCAGACCAATCATCATGGAATCTGAAGCTTCCATGTTCATGTACAACATGAGAACAGCAAAGCAGTTGTGGAGCATGATCCACTGCTGCCACAGGCGCAGAGCTGCCAGTGAGCAGCCATCAAGTGATCACTGTTTAGAGCAGTGGTAATGCTGGAATCTGCAACGTAGATACACACAAACATCTAAAAATACAGTAAGGACCTTTCATACTAAACTCGAAACTGTTTCCAGAGAGCCAGTGTGCAGAGCTGCCTTGACTCCAACCTTCTGAAAGGCCCTTTACAATAAGCACCCAGCCAAGCACTCAGAAGTGATTATTTCAGTTTAAAATTCAGTACAAGCTACCCCTCTCCTGTGCCCAAAGCCTCTTGCAGTTTCATGATAGAACAAGATCTTTATGACTGTTCTTCTCTTTCCATTTCAACTTCTATGCTCGAGAAGGGATTCAGAGCACAAAACAATTCACTCTTCCCTATGTGAACATCATCTAGCCTTACAGAACACTGGGTAGTCTGTACTTCCCCAGTCACTGCAATTTTTCCCCTGCTGCTTGAGAAATTTCACATCAAATAGCACTTCTGAGCCACAGGAAGAAACTAATGTAAAACTAATTCCCAGACTGCCATTGTTTATATGAACAGGATTACACTATCACAGGCCTCAAGAACAGCAACCCTGCCACGATTTCTTCCTAATGTTTTCTTACTTGAAAAGGTTTCTTCCTTCCCCAAACCCCTTTCTCCATCTCCCAAGACAACTCATTACAGATCTTCCACTAGGGGAGGTTTTCTCATGACTTGAGTCTTACCTCGTTGGAAGAGCTTGCCTCAGAATTAATGACTTTTAGAGATAAGCTTTGTTGCAACACAAACCTTTGAATGTGTACTGGGACAGGAGGTGGAAGAATCACAAGTGCAGTGCACCTGAATACAGGGTAGCTAACCATTTCTTCTGGGGGGTTATCAGACAGTGTTTACTAAGAGTAGCCATGTTCAAGTTCTCTCTGCCCCCTCTTCAGTATTTCAATTTAAAAACTTCAAAGTTCCATTATACAAAGCCCTAAAAAAGGGCAGGTATCTGGGAAAAGCTTTTCAAATCCCACCACCTCATTCGGGAAGAGCAGGACTTCTCAAGGAAGTAAGAAACCTGGCAAAGTCTTTAGACATCAAAGAGCAACCACAAACTGTCAGAATCAGCATCCTGAATTCCATTCCTCGTGTGGCATGAAAAGGGACCAGTCTGCATTTAAAGCACATGGTGCAAAACAAACATCGTCTCTGAAAGCCCTTTGGCTTTTAGTGTTGCTTTGTGTGCACAAATGCCCATTTGCTTCTCTATGGAGCCAAGAAGCCAAATGAAGATGAATCCACAGAATCGAACCAATCCCTCCCTACTTCCTGATCTCCCTCAAAGAATATCAACATGAGCCTTGACACCAACCCCCTTCTCCTTGAAGGACGTGCTAGTGGCCAAGCTGACGGTCATCGTAGGTGCTGTATCTCTTCACGTGGATTCGGCGCACTCGGTCACGAAGTTCAAACCCCTCATCATCCTCACTGTGAGATGCCTGGCTGCGGCTCCTGCTGGTTGCTTCCAGCAGGGAGTTGTCAGGAACGCGTGGGGTTTCATACAGTAAGACATTTAGTGTTTCCTCATAAATTCTTGCCTCGGGGAACTCAACCTACAGAAAAGAACGCACATCCTTTTCCTGATACATGCAGGATTACATGGCTGAAACACAGCAAACATGCAGGAGAGGGAGTATCAAAGCTTTTCTACTGAGTGATATTGCTTGCCTCTAGCAATTTGGCTTTAGTTATACAAAACCTACATATTTCTGTGATGTATCATCAACCTGATTTTCTTTAAACCATAAGGGGCAGGTGGGAAAACTCCATTACCTTGGTTTGCTTCTTCTCTGTAGCATACACTATAGAGGTACAACAGACTTCAGCAAGTTTCCGACCCTGCCCATAGAAAGACCAGCAGCAGATTTCATCCCCTATAACATCCTTAATGAAAAGCACTCGGCCGTTGAATCGGAGCGAGAGTTTGTCAAACAGTTCTATGTTCTTCAGCAAGTTGTCATCTGAGTTACTGAAACACAACAACAGAAGGAACATGGGGGTTTTTCAGTTGGCCATCTCTACAGAATTTATATGCCAGTTCCACCACAGCTTTAAGCATTGATCTAACTGAAGACTACAAATAAGTAGTGACTCATTGCCATATGCTGCCAAGAAAAGAGAGGGTAATAGCCAATTTCAGATACAAATAAGATGCTCTGATGCCCATGAGCAAACACACCAGCCTTTAGAGGTCAAGTTATGTAATTAACAACGACAGCACAATCTCCCAAATCATTACATCAACGCGCTATAACTGTCTCTCGACTGATGCTCAAAACCACTAAATGACATGTTCACTTCAGTTCCCTTTAGCTTCATAACAGGAAAAATCCAAAGAGCTAATACGTGTTAGAAGGCCAGCTGAAAGCAAGGTCTTTGGACCCAGAAGCTCCAGGTTCACACCGTGCTGCCAAAAATTCACCCAGAGACACGAGATCTTACTTCATGAGTATCTTGACATTTGCAAGTAGCCCAGGCAGGCAATGAAATACTTGTGCATCAAGACACTGCTAACGAGATTATCCAACTGGGCCATAAAATATTTAGTCTGAGAAGTATTTCTGTTCAGAGGTAAATCCAAAAAGAATGATGTGCAACCAAAGCCTTCAGCTCCCAAGAATCATTCAATAAAGCAATCTGGGATTCAGCCAATGGGAAGTTCCAATCTCTATAAAGAGGCAGAGCTGGGAAAAGAATGTGGAAAACTTTATCCATTTATCTTATTAGACCACACTGACAACACAACTGAGAAAGCTCCTGTTATACTGTTAATTAGGAAGAACAGAAGGAAAAAATCTTTGCTTGCTAGCAGCCAGCGTGGAATTTTAAGTAAGGATGCCTCATTCAAACACCAGCAAGGCATGCAGATTCATGTGCAAGGTATAGTTAGAACCCTCCAGCTAGCTGAGATACCAGCACCTCCTGGTACCTAGGATTCTGTTTTTCTCCTTACTGGTACGTTTTCATTTCCAGACCAGGGTGAATAATGTGCTCTTCTGTGCTGCTTTAGCATCACAGCTGTAAGCTAAAGGGTAACACAGGGAGGAATCCGATAAGGCAGATACAGAATGCAGCCTGCTGAAACCAGGCTGCTGCTCTTCAGCACTCCCGCAGGTAGCATTTCCCCACTACCTGAAATACCATGATTGTTAGAATCCATCTCTCTTGACAGCCAGACACTGTTTGTCTAGAGAAAAAAACTTCCAAGATTGCATCTCGGATGGAAAAGGCTGAAAATGAGGACTGTGCACAGCATAAAGGATTACTCACATCTCCTCAATGACTGGCTAGGGAAAACCCAAAGGCATTCTGGTAGCATCTTAACAAAGGGATCATGATATTTACAGCATAAAACTAAACATATAATGTTTCTTTATATAGAAGGAAAGCCAGTAAATTCTTGCCCTGGCCCTATCTGGGTTGCTCCTGAGCAGAAGAGGTACTTCCCTTTGTAACCAAAAAATTAATTCATATAGAGGCACTGGAGCACTAAAAACATCTGTAGGTCAAAGACTGCTGGCAGAGGTACCTGCAGACTCAAAAAATCAAGCTAAGCTGATGAGGTAGGGATGCTCTGGTTACTGGTTTGTTTTGCATTACTGAAGTTATACCTAGTTTCAGCCAACATTAATAACCGTTGTTCTTATCTCTTGTCCCTTGTCTCTGTTCATGTTTCTTACACAACTGAACTGTACACTGAACTTCAATGGATACTGCCTGCTGTGTTCACACGCCATTCAGATACACATCACTCTGAGCTAACTGCACTCAAATCCATAGAAGAGCAATGTTGTAAGCAAAAAACCCCAAGTTAGGTCATCCCACATCCTCCTCCACTCCCATAGTCAAAGGGAAACTTCCCCATTCCAGTGGGAAAAAAGCCTGACATACCTGGTGTAGGAGTATTTATTGTTGCTTCTATTATAAAGCAGCTTAACAACAGGCTGTTGGGAAAGAAAGGGAAAAAGCAGAAAAGGTTAAGGTCTGTGTCTGAAGACATTTAGCAAAAAATCAGTTTCTCACTGGGTAGTTGTGGAAAAGCAGTTACTTTCATTGATGATTCTATCAGTCTCTCTTCTTCCTTTGGAGATGTGATAATGGGGATGCTACAGACAGGTTCATACAAGTCTTTCTTGTCCTGTTTTAAAGAAAGAAAAGAGAGAGTAAACAAACTCAAGGGAGATAAATGCTAAAGCCAAGCACTGCTCCTGTCTCCTCCAACCCCTCCAGCCACGTTCCAAACCGTGTGATGCAAAGGACAAGCTCCATGTTGCTACAGCAACCACACAGCGTTACCTTGATCTGCACCCATGAATACTGCAGGGGGGTTGCTCAGCCCCAGAAGGCAGCCGGAATGGAACTATTGGGATGCAGGTGGATGTCCTTAGCTACAGCAAAGGACTCTGAGCTCAAGTTGTATTTGGTTTCAGTGGTTTTATTATTCCACCCTTTTTGAAAGCAAGGATAGAAAGGGTTTGCACTAGTTTCTATCAACTCTAAGCACTGCTGCATGTAACAGCATCAGCCACTATGAACTGAGCATTTGGCAAGAACAGCATGTCACCAAATGGACTTCAGCTCCTTCTGATATAAAAGCAACAATCGAGAGCATGTGGCAGTCTGTGACTCCAGATTCCTCATGTAGCAAATTAAGGACAGCTCGATAGCTAATTGGAAGGCCTTAGAACATTCTGTTTTTAGAAGAAAGGTTTTCAATTCCAATCCAGAAGGAGAATTTTCAGTGTGGCTTTGTGTTTTTTTCAGTGGATACAAGTATGTTGAACCCAGTATGTGAGGCATTTATTAATTACTAAGTTTTGTCCTGCAAGAAGCATCCCTTTCACAATCTTAATAAGTTCTACATATTGCATCTGGGCTAACCTTATTCAAAAGTTGGCAGAACAAGCAGATTTCAATCAGCTGAATGCAAAGACTTCTAAAATGAATAAAGCTACTACAGGATTACTATTCACAAAACTGACACAAGGAGATGTCCTTAAAGCACTCAGTGTCTCTTACTCAAAGCATCTCCGAACCCCAGGCGTGCACCCAGAGCAAGGACAACCCTGGCTTTGCTAAACATCCTGGATTCGCTCTCACAACTCACCTGACTGCCGTCTCATTTTCCTCCAGGCTGTTCTGTACCTCTAAGACTTGATGCTATCTCTAAGACCATGAAATGCTCTCTCGAGTTGTCTTATGTCAATTTTACATGCAAAACATCCATGAAAAACTTTGCAGGCTACTTCTACTTACCTGCAGGGCTGCTTGGCACATGTCCACTAAGCCCTGAATGAGATAATATTTGGCTTCTGCCATCAGCTCTTTGATCTCCTGCCTGTGTTTTGGAAGTGCAATCGTGTCATCCCGGAGATAGTTTAAAATTGTTCCAAAGTGCTTCCCGCAACGGTCTATAAGGATCCAGCCTGAAAAATAACCATCATATCATTTCAACAGCCTCAACTCTAGGGCGCAAGGAAAAGCTGCTGGGAGAGGTTAAATAAGCCTGCTGCTTCCTTAAACACCACATGGTACTCTTCCCATTTCCTTCAGGGAAATCTACTGACTGCGAGCAAACTGAAGTTGGTTATAGAACAGAAAGTGTTCCAAAGATGCTAAAAGGCAGACTGGCCCAGAAAACCCAGTACGGGGAGAAAGCTGTTCTGGTCTCCAAACAGGAGCCAAGAACAGGACAGAGGCAGATCAGGAGGGAGCAGAGAAGGGATGCAGGCAGGAAACAGGAGGCAGACAGCTCTCACAATTGTAAAACACCCCTGAAGTCATGTTCACTAGGAAACAGGATGTCTGACTCGACAGCAAACAATGGCCATGTAGGATGCGCATCAGCAGAAGGCTTAATACAGTGCCAAGTGTTCTTCCATAATGCAGGAGACAGCAGCAGAGTGTTATTTTAGGACCTAGGAACAGAAAATGACGTAGAAAAGTATGCCAACGACTGCTGGGTCTGCAGCTGTAGCTGTCAGACTGTTTTCCATTGTCAGTTGTTTTCCATTCAGGCTGGGGCTCCTACACAGAGCTGCTGGGCTAAATGCGGTTAGCTGTACTAACACTGAACAAGACCCAGTCAAGGGGAACTGGGTTTGTGTGATATGCAAAACCACAAGGAGTTGTTTCAGCCTGAGTAAACACACTGCTGTGCATCAAGTTTAAACTGATGTCATCTGGGCAGGCAAAAGAGCTTTTGCATCTGAGTTTTCAGGAACACCAAGAGGTTAAATAATTGCCAGCCCCTCCCAGCCTCCCCTCCACAGTGACACAAACCCCATTCCTAAGGTGTCATTTTGCCCTGGACTATGAAAGAAAGGAAAATGAAAGCACTTGTAGCCATTGCTGATATTGATCATCCTTCTTGTTCTACTCTCTGTAGTGTAAAGTGGATTTTTATAAAGCCAATCAATATCGAGTGCCCTGCAGGAGGTGACGTACTGCTTGAGTGACAGCGAAACACCGTCACAGCATCACCACAAGTGGCACATGCTCCTGGGAGGAGGGAAAAAAAAGAGTTTTCAACATCGCAAGCACGGTTATGCCGAGATTGGAAGATGAAAACTGAGCATCCCTCCCCACACGCACATTTCCAATGATGCCACTACATGACACGACAGAAATGACAACCTACAGACTGTCTGTTCAGAACAACACGAAGGATCTGCACACCAGCTGTGAGCACAGGAAAGAACCAGTCCTTCTGCTAGTTAATTTTAGTAACAAAAGAGCACATTTCTATAAAGCACAGAGGATTGACAGCACCAATGGGAACTGGCTGCCTAATGTTCCAAGTTATTTTTGGAATATCTCTTCTCCTACATCCTTAACCGAGCGTAGTCTTGAGGTATTTTAAAGACCACCAGCAAACCCCAGTTACAAAACTGTTGTTACAAAATTCTCAACAACAAAAGACATTTCCTCACCTTCCTTGTCCGTGAGCACTTCCATTCTGCCGCTGAACATGGCCTTCAGCATCGTGTCGTGCCTGGTCAGGACTTGCACCGTGGTGTAATACAAAGAGCCCCCAACATTGAGGCGCACGTACTTGTTGCCAAGGCTGCCCCCTTTGAAGCTGCAGGTTTTGGGCTTGGGCCCCGCGGCCGGGCAGAGGGTGGTGGTCAGACACGTGTCCCCCGACATCTCCTTCTGGAGGTAGATGACGACCCTGCAGAGCGTGGGCTTGATAGACTCCGCCGTGATTGGTGACGGGTCACGAGTCACCAGACGAGGACAGCAAGGGAAAAGCTGTCACAACCATGGGGCCCTTGAAACAGGAAGGCATGAGGTCAGGACAGGAGCCTGGAATGTCTGTTTACAACAAACCCACGAAGAGACACTTTCAGCAGATTCCCAAGGACACATCTGCGCACACTGACAAACCAGGATTTAGCTCTGTCAGCTCACACAGCAATGAATGCAGTCACGTTACAGTTGCCTTCCTGCTTTGAGGCACACTCAACTTTTCCAGGCTTCCTGTTATTTCCCCTTCAAACCCCACACAACACTACGGTCTGAGCTCAAAGAGGGGCCGGAACCTGTCTCCCTCTCAGCTTCCCAGAACACAACCCTTTGTGCAGAGCTGGAACACCAGGGGAGAGCTCTCTGCCCTCCCTTCAGCAGGGTGGGTGTTTGCACCTGTGGGGCTTGGGGGTTTGCTCTTCAACTGGAGGCACTGACAAGTGTCTTTTCAGATGCCTCCACACTGCAATGCTGGACCATAACATCCTACTTCCTGGCAACTCTTTTCATTCAAAACTTTTCTTCCTTCATCCTGGAATGCCAAGAGTCAATTATTTAAAAAAAATAACCAAAAATTAACACACTCCCCCTGCCAAGAACATCCACTCAAGTGGAACGTTTGTCTCCATTAAAAACCCATCGAGCCACTCACTGCTGCCTCCTCTCCCCAGTCTCACTGTGCTTTATCTTCCCATTGGCAATAAGCTCAAAATAGAAACAGACAAAGAAAGAAACTCTAACAGGCCAGATCCAAAGTTCTGTAACTGGAGAAGTACAAACACAAGCTTCTCACCCATCTTTCTTCTAACAATTATGCTCTCAAAAGCATTTAGCTCTTGGGGTTTTGTTGTCGTTGTTTTAAAACTTTCAGACTACAAATACCTCCTCCCCTCTCCATCCTGTGCCTATGGCTCATGAGTAACCTTTATAAATAAATAACCTGCTAATTATACTGCTATTCATCCCACAGCCTCTTCCTTCTCACCCCACCTCAGCTTTCAACAGAGAAAAAGCCCACATCCATCCGTCTGCACAGCAAATTACGTGGCAGCTACAGATGGTATCTTAAAATTGCCAGAGATCTGAATAACTACTGAACTTGGAACAACACCTAAAACACAACGTTATTCTGCTATTCTTAACTCATTCTAATTAAGCAAATGCTACAACAGCTATTAAATAACAAGCAACACAGACACTGTGCAGATCATCAGTCACAAACCAATTCTAAGAATTCTAGTGCCAAAGAGCTCCATTTGTCCACAAACGCTTTAACTGGGGCTCCCACACTTGCTTTCCACCATGACAAGCTCCAGCTTGAGGCCACAACCAGGCAGGACCAAGCTTCTCCCACCACCATGCCCACGCTGAGCATCCCCTAAGCAAACCGAAGTGCTGGGGCACTGCACATGGGACCGACCAGGGAAGCCCCAAGAACGTGTGAGGGTCACAGTGAAGTTCATTCCTCAGATAAAGCAGCTGAGGGGTGTACAGCGAAATCCCTCAGAATGGCCCACATTCTGCAAGTGACACAGTTCCTTCCAACCACTCATAGGTGCTTACTACGACCTGTTATGGCTAAATCGATGCCAGAAACAACTACATCTTGTCTTGTAGTTAAGAACCGTGGTAAAAATAGGGCTCTTAACCTCACGTTTGCCATCAGTGTCCTGCCCTGCTTTAACCCTCAGTCATCCCTGTTTCAGAAGAGTGTTTGCGAGGACGGCCAGACTGATTCTGCAATGAGACAGGACCACGCACAGAGCTCTCCTACTTCAACAGCGACCCGTCTGCTCGTACTCACTACAGCCAGGCCTTCAGCCCGTTCCGCCGCTTCAGGATTCACCTGCTCCTCCAGCCCAACCGAACGGGCGCAGAACTCCCCGCACCGCCCGTCCAGGTAGGGCTCGGTGCTGTCCCTCTCCCGCGCTCGTTACCCAGCAGGCCTTCCCTGCAAACAACAGCCTGGTGGAGCCTTTACCCACCCCATCCATCAGCACTCCAGGGGGTCTCCACGCTCCTTCCTGCCCGCTGTGGGAGCGGGAGGGGGCCTCGGAGACAGCTCAGGCACCGGGCCCTGCCGAGAGCTCCCCGCGCAAGGGACGGTCCTACCGGGGGGACCAGCGCCCCGCTCCCCGCGCCGGCCTCCTACCCCGGCCCCGCCGAGCCGAGCCGAGCCGGGCCTGCACGGGCCTCACCCACCGGCGGACGGCAGCGCACAGCGGGGAGGGCTCCGGCTCCCCCGGGGCCCGCTCCCCGGCCCTGCCCGCAGCGCGCCCCCGCTCACCCGCCCGCGGCCGCCCGCAGCCCCGCGGCCGCCGCCTGAGCTCATTTCCTCCCCGCCCCGCTGGGAACCGGCGACCCGGAAGCGCTCCGCGGCTCCCGGCCTGCCCCGCGCCGCCGGCGCCACCGGACTACGGCTCCCAGCGCGCCCCGCGGCCGTGGCCGTGGCAGCGGGCGGTGGCCGGGCCGGGCCGGGCCGGGCCATGGCGCAGGCGGCGCTGGGCGCGGCGGGGCTGCACTTCGATGAGCTGAACAAGCTGCGGGTCCTGGAGCCCGAGGCGGCGCAGCAGACGGCGCAGCTCCGCGAGGAGTGCGGGGCCTTCCTGGACAGTGAGTGCCAGCGGGGCCGGGCGCCGGCGCTTTGCTCCGCTCTTCCCCTTTGGCAGCCACTGCCACAAACCCGAGCGCGTACCCGTGTGCGGGAGCGCCAGGAATAGAGCTGAGCTAAGGACTGCAGCGGGTGGTGAACGCGTTCGCCTGCCGCGGCGGTGTTGTGGATGGTGCTTCACCGTGCACTCTTCTTTGCAGAAATAGCTGAATTCCAGAAGATAGTGGGGAGCTTGATTGAGCTTGTGGATCAGCTGGCAAAAGCTGCAGAAAGCGAGAAGATGAAGGTATGTGCAGTTGATCACACTTCACAGCATCATCAGTGTCCAGCAGGCCTTTCTGTGATACTGAAGTCTGGAGGGCTTGTACACGTACACCCAGACTCCTGTGTTTAACAGTCCCACTGCTCCTGTTTCTGTCTGTACATCAGTGTTGTGGTGTCACCCTCCTTTACTATTGGTGTGGCTGAAACACTTGAATCCCAACCTGTCAGCAGTGAGAGGGGTTAAACACATCAACAAATCCCGCTACAACTACAGCACTGTCCTCTCCTGACAGGCCATCGGTGCGCGGAACCTGCTGAAGTCTATGGCAAAGCAGAGGGAAGCTCAGGAGCAGCAACTTCAGGCTTTAATAGCTGAGAAGAAGATGCAGCTGCAGAGGTGAGTTACTTGTTGGGTACTCTGGGGCACTGCAGAGTTTGGGAAGTCTATCTCCCCTCTGTGCGTGGCTGCTGGGCACTGCCTCAGCTCGTCCACACAGCCCATCTGCTCAGCAAAGGTGTGCCCTCCTGCACTGAGCACGTGTGGACAACGTGGAGCCACCAGCCAAGGGCTCACTTAGGGCCCATCTCTGATGACTGGCTAAACCGAGGGGCAGCAGCAGATGGGGCAGCTGGGGAAGCCAGTGAGCTCTGACTTGTCCAGCACACGGAGGCACTGCAGAACCGTGGGTCCAGCTCACGCAGCTGCTGCTCTGCGGAGGACTCTGGAGCCCAAGTCCCTTCCCTGCAGCCCAGGAGCAGTGTCCTGACCCAGCACGGGAGCTGCTGACCACCTGCTTTATCTTTCAGGTACCAGGTAGAGTACGAGACTCTGTGTAAAATTGAAGCTGACCAGAACGAATTCATTGACCAATTCATTTTCCAGAAATAGAGGATTTTAAGGTAAAACCAAACTTGACCATTCCAGAATCTTGAGAACTTCAAAATATGCAATTTTTCACTGTGTATGACTGAAGAGCTTGTTCGTACCAATGGAAGTGTTTGAATTCAGAGTGACTTACACTACGAGTGGCAATAAGGAGGCCTTTCTAACAGGGTGAAGACTGTTGTGTCCTTTGATTTTATAAGTTTTGTACAGTCTACTTCTAATCCAAATTACAGTTGAATTGATACTGCTGTTGCTATGTCACGTCTCTGCCTTTTGGGACTATGCAGCTCTTTGAAAGAAATTGGGGAAATAAATGATTGTTTTCAGACTTTCTGGAGACCCCAGAATTAGGGCCTTCTGCAGAAGGTTAGCCTTGAGCTTCAGGGTTTACAGCTCCCTGGACAGTCACAGTGGTTGTCACATGTGGTATTTGTCTTGTCTGTTAAGACACAGCACGCAAGCAGCAGGAACTTCTGCAGGAACACGTATTGGCCAGATTATTTTTTCATGGAGTTAGGAAAACCCAGGAAGTTTACAGTTACTGGAATGGATCGATTACACACACACACAAACAGCAGGAAATCAGCTGAATTAAGAACTTTAAGCTATGCCCAAGGTACATCCATACCGGTAGTACCACTAGAGTTGAATTCTGTGGGTGGTGGAAGTGATGGAGCCCCAGACTGATGAAACTCCTCAAGTTTGATTCTTGCAGCTCAAATTGAGAACTTAAAAACCCCACAACCAAGCCCACCACCCCTGGGTTTCTGTCAGTGGTAGGTTCTCTTCACTGTACCTTATGCACACATTTACTGTGGGAACTCTCTACACTGCCTCATGGTCATTAAGTTCCTTTTAGTCATTCCCTGAAGAAAACTAAATGCAGTTTAATGTGTTTATTTATTTCCACATGAGAAGTGATTTTATGGAGAGAGAAATTGCAAACCCTTGTTCACAATCCCTGACGTACTTGAGAATCCCCCAGGAATTATGCCTCAGTGTCCAACAAAGGTCACTTCAGGCATTAGTAAATCCAAGTTTGGGCACATTATATTATCACTGAGCAAATTAACTGACAATCAAAACTGAAGCAGAGCAGAGGAAGGTGGGATTTTAAAGGAAGGGGAGAGGAAGCTCAGAGCGACTGTAGGATGTGGAATGTGTTGGGAGCATCGCTCTGGGGATCTGTGTGTAACCAGCTCTTGGAAGACACGTTTCTGACTGAAGTGGTTTCCTGGCAGTCCTCTTGGGAACAGGGATCAGCGGCAGCATCCCCCCACCACGCAGTTACACATCAGGTGATTGAAGTCCGGTTTCCCGTTGCAGAGGGCACGATGGGACAGGGAGAGGTGGGAATCGCCTTCCCCTGCATGCGCTGCAGCCGCGGGGCTCAGCTCACACCGAGCCCGTTCTTCCCTGTGGGAGCTGGTGCGCTGGGAACGGCTGCTGCAGCCACCCCCATGGCACAGCGTTTGTCCCAGAGGACCACGTCAGCACAGGCTCTGCGTCAGCGTTGGACGTACGACCCGCAGAGCGGGCTACTTCCGTTTCCGCTTCTCCACGTGGTTGTAGTGGGGGTTGTAGAGCATGGTGTAAAGAAGCAGCAGCGGTATCAGCAAGTAGGGCACGTACACGGAGAGCAGCACGAGGCGCTCACGCTGCGTCCGAGGTCCCAGCTGCTCCGGCCCCGAGAAGTCGTGGAACAGGATGTGCGCAAGGATGGCCACCAGAGTGGTAGCCACGTGCGTGGAGTAGATAATGGCCGGAGTCCTTATCCACCTGCAGCTCCCTGCAGGGCAGCAAAAAGGAAGCGTATTTAAGTGCTCTGAAGCAAGGAGGATTCAGCAGCTTGTAAACTACCTGAACACTAACTGCTCTAGCTCTGACAGGGTAAGGCACAAGATACAGTAAATAGGTAGCAGAAAAATTGTTAAGTAGCAGTACCAACATGGTTAACATGGTCACCAGTAACAACGACATACAGAGCAGTGGTGTGATCGCAAACGTTTCAAGTAGCACAATGAGTACCTGGAACTTATCTCCTTCGGGAGCACACCAGGTGTCAAACCATGGTGCTGGTCCCATGTAAATGACTGCAGCTGACCAGGCCTGTAGTGATGGCCTCTGCAACAGCCCTTGTTCTGTTCTGTTGTCTCAGATGGAACTTGCCTTGAGAACACGGCAGCGCTCCACTGGCACACCCCTGCCATTGCTTACCCACACCTCCACCCCTGCCGCACAGAACCCTGGCTGCGTGGCAGCACCGCTCAGGATGTGCTTGTATGCTTGCTTTACACCAACCTTTTAGGAAGGCGTAGGCTGCGATGGGGAAGAAGGGCAGCTGCAGGAAAGCTTCACAACAGATAAATGCCTTGAACCACTCCGGGGGCTGGAGCATCAGGGGGTCCCTGAAGGTGGTTGCGTACCACTGCAGCAGCTCCGTCAGCTTCAGAGAGAGAACAGAGCAACACGTTAGCGCACTGAACATCAACGGCAGCAGAACAGTGACCCTGGTCTGCTGGAGCATCACTGGGGGAAAATGCAGGGACAGCTCAAGGCAAGCACCTGGCTGAGTGTTTCCATGAGAGAAAGGTAAATTCCAGCAGGGTTTTACACTGGACTTTGCACACAGAGATATGTATTGAGATCTGCTGGTTAACTATTAATGACAAACGGGTGCTGTAAGTGGAGGAATTCCACAGGCAATTCTAACGGCACGCCCCGAATTCCCTCCTTGCAAAGCTCGCAGAGGTTCTGGCCGCGCTCCCCCTGATGCCAAGCGCCGTTTTCCACCCACCTCCGTTCTGACTGACGCTCTGGTGTTCATGGCCACCCTGTTCCGACCCCCGCAAACCGCCGGTATCCACCCCCCGCTGCGGTCCCACGTTTCGGTGGGAGCACGAGCGGGGCTGAGGCCTGGGCGGGAGCAGGACCAAACCCAAGGCCCGGGGAGCGCTTCCCGACCTGCGGGCGTGCCACGGCCACCGGGCCGGGCCGTGCACGGGGCGAGGTGGGGGGGCTCAAGCAGAACCCCCCCCCGGAGACCGCACGGACCCAGTGCGTTAAATGCGGCTCCGTTCCAGCGTTTCCTCCCCCCGCGGTGCCCGCACACACCGGATGCTGCGGAGCCGCCGCCGGAGCCACGGCCCCCTCCACCCGTCCCGTCCCGTCCCCACTCACGGCCTGCGGGAGCAGCCCCGCGGGCAGCAGCGGCTGCGCATCGATGAGCGCGGTCAGCGGCACGTGCGACAGGAAGAACAGCGCGAACAGCCGCTCCCGCCAGCGCGGCGCCGCCGCCGCCATCGCCGCCGCACCGGCCACGCCCCCTGCCGCCGGGGCCACGCCCCCCCTGCCGCCGGGACCACGCCCCCCTGCCGCCGGAGCCACGCCCCCCTGCCGCCGGAGCCACGCCCCCCCTGCCGCCGGAGCCACGCCCCCCCGCCGCCGGGGCTGCCCCGTTAACGGCTGCGGAAGCCCCGCATGAGGAGGGCCCGGAGCGGGTCCGCCCCGCAGCCACCGCCTTAACGGGGCCCCCTCCGGTACCGGCCCCAGCGCGCACACGCGGTGCTGGAGGGGGACCGGGACCTTCGCGCCCTCCCCGATGAACCCGGTTGTGTCCGGCGGTGACACCGGGAGCATCCGGACACGGGGTTCATTCAGCAGCTTCTGCTCCACAGCGGATCCGGTTCGGCTCCCGCAGGACGGGCACAACTGGGGTGAGGGTGCGGCTGAGGCCGGAGACCGCTCCACAACCGGGGCCTGTGTCTGTGTGCAAACAACTTCAGGCACACAGTGCCATGTGCCTGTGTGTGTGTGGATGGATACAGACCTGTGTGCATGTATGTGTATAGATGCGTGTCTGTGTGTGTGTGTGTGTGTGTGTGTGTAAAAATCAAAACCATGCCCAAAGCAGCAGTTACAAAGCCTTTTTACTTGCATCCTCTCAGCCAGAACAATTCACTGTTAAATGCGGCGGGCTCGGGCAGGAAATGAAGATACCACCACTCCGGTTTCAAATGTCACATTTAATGTTTTCACCACTGTACTTCAAATCTACACTTTACAAAGTGACCAGCAAGTGTGCCACATTAACTGACCAACCTCTGAGATTTTACCTGTCACACCAGTGTCGCCCTGGGCTCTGGAATTACACACGGTTCTCATTCAAGTGAACTGAAATGCTTCAGTTGGTTTTATTCTCAGGAGCCTCGTACAGAAACAAAGACATCGCCCCATCTTTGTTCCGTTATCCCACCTTATTCCTCTCTTTCACAGCAAATAATTACTTCATTGAAGTTAAAACTTCCAAACATAACTTACTGACAGTCTCCAGTTGCAGCTCAGATCACTCGTGTTGAAAATACTCTGCTAAATACAGATAACTTACAATAACTTTAACAGTTAATTGTCCGTAACAAACACACGCGTTCCCTCCAGACCGCTGCTCCCAGGCTCAGACCACCCTTGCGGATCCCTTGGTACGGGTGAAAAACAGGCGCGGGTTTTTCCTGTCTCGGTTTAAATACAAAAGTTGGGACATTCAAGTTTCGAGTCTCCACGCTGAACTTAAAAAAACAAAACTCATGTGGAGGTAAACAAAGCAAGTTGTACACTCCAGGAGGTAGAGGCCTTCAGTTGTGTTCACATATATACATATGCACAGAATTCAGTGTTCCAACAGAAAAACAATGAGCCAAACGGTAACCAAAGTCAGGTCCTACGGTGACATCTCAAGACTTGCACAGCTCTGCCTAAAGCCACGAACACCAAGTCACAGAATTCCCCATGGGCTTTTTTTTTTTTTTCCATTTTTTTCCTTTTTTTTTTTTCCTTTTTTTTTTTTTTTTTCCTCAACTCTCCAGTGCAGGAAAAGGTTCTCACAAAGTTTCACAGACCTAAAATGTGCAAGCTAGTTCCTCTCTATACAGCAACGATGCCGGGGAGCGCCCAAATCAGCCCATCAATGGCATTATTTACACACAGAGATGCATGCTGGGGGGTTTCATGTAAGAAAGAGCAGAAAACCTTCTAATAAAAATAGATTAAATATATATATATATTTATACTGGGTGAGGAAACAGAAGTTTAGTCTCTCCTAGTCACAAACTCATTCTCTCTACTCACAACATCTGGTTTTAGAACAGCACACATCACCATCACAGCTCTAGTGAGAAGCTATTTATAGGGCTCGGTCGGGGACGTGCCATCGCCCGACGTGACTTCATGATTGGTCGCAGTCAAGTTTTCTGTATTCCTTAGTTTTAGAAAACCCAAAATCCTCAGGAATGGCTCAATATCAAAAGGTGTTTGTACAGACTCACTGCAATAGAAAACAGAAAGGAAAACAAAAGACAAACCCTCCCCAAATTTGGTTCGATTCCGTTTGTTCCGAGCTGAGCCACCGCAGCTGCACCACAATTCATCAAACACGTGCAGCTCTGGGGGAAATATTCTCTTCTAAAAGCACAACCACTTTACAAGATTAAAAGTCTAGTACGGCTCTAAATATCATTCATATTGTACAAGTAGTGGTTGTTAATTTAAAACTTCATTAGTAAAATTACAGTACAAGCATGATTAACCTCCAGAATTGCAAATCCCAGGCTCCAGTGGAAAGCTACATTACATCTTCAGTAGTTTATTCTCTTCCACTTCACTCCCAGACCAATGGAGATGGCGGCATCTCGGATGGCTGAGCAACCGTGGAACTGCAACGCAGCGACACAGACAGTCAGTGCTCACTTGCCAGAGCTCAAGGACACCACAGTTAATGCTGCAGCCCCAAACCCAACCCAAACACCCCAGAGCCACCGGTAACAACCGGTCCTGCACCACATCTACTGACGGGCTTGGGGGTTCTCCACCCATCGGGCCTGCCCCTTACTGGTTTTACAGTGCAGTTCTGCAATCACCCCCCCCAGTTCTCACTTTCAGCCTGAATTCTGTGCTTTACACAAAAATATTACCTGAAACCTTGGCACATTTCACTTAAATTCTAGAAGAATTCATCGAGATATCCTAAAACGTAATCACACAAAGGTGGTTTTTCCCCCAAAAAAGTTATCTCTGGGCCTTTCCTTACTCTTAGAAACTTAAAACATACAGCATATGGGATGTGTGAATTCTGTACTACTAATAAATGTGAATTAATATCAGATGTGAGTACATACAGTTACCTAATAAAGCTCTTAAAAGCAGCAGACTGAGGGTTGATGCAGAGAGGCACTCTGTTTCCTTTCTGCTGTTCCAGAATGAACTGATGAATTATTTCTGTACGTAGGGGAAGAGCACAAAACACCACAGAATTAACACTTTGCTCCAGTGAAATGCAGTGTAGGCTGGAGGGAAACGCAGCTTCCTCCACTGCAAGTACACTTCCAGAGGGAGCAGGGAGTTCCAGCTTCCCGGCATCGAATCCAATGCCAGACCTCACCACACAGATTCACACAGAACTCTTCTGTGCACACTGGAATGAAGTTATATACGAAATAAAACCCCAGTCAGTACTCTAACACTGAACTGGTGATAACCACTTATGGGATAAATCCCAGTTTTAGGGTGTAACTAAAAGCAGGTTTGGCAAGGGGCTGCTCCTCCATGTGATGGGTGCCAGGACTGAGCTCCATGCGATGGAACTGGTTGTCAGGAACTGCTGAGGGAACACATTTCTTGTCCCTCTCTTCCTCTGGAGTCATTCGAGCTGCCACCAGAGCCCAAATCCCTACCGCTGCTTCTCGGATCGCATTGCTCTTGTTAAAGCTCTGCTTTCCTCACTGGATCTGGTTTCAGAAGCCCCAAAGCCTGGTTTATGGCCTCTTTGCTGGGATGGAATCAGACTTCAAGTCTCCAGTGCCACAGAGCAACTGCTGGCATTTAGTGACCATCTGTGGCAGCAGGTTCCTCTTCCAGGGACCAGGACTGATCCTCCTCATTTCACCTGACTGGCAGCAGGCTGCACATCCTGCCCCTACAGGACTAGGGGATGGAGCAGGAGGATAAATGCAGATGCAAAGATAACTGCTACTCACCTTTCACCTGCCGAACAGAACTGAGGTTCTTCTCAAAAGTGTCATCAAACTTGGGGTTAGTGATGGGTTCAAAGTCACTCGTATAAACTCTTCCAGTGGATGTGGAGAAGCAACATTTACACATACAAGTGTGGTATCGCAACCGCCCTTCGTCGAGGTATGGGTGGGCTAAGGCATCCTTAGCAGATATCCTTTTGGACTGAAACATGGCATTTGCGGGAAACAGAAGAAACCAGTTAGAACGTTTGCAGAGGTGCTGGAGCAGCCTAAAGAACATTCACTCCTAAACTAATCCTGACTTGGTTTATAACCCTCTATCATGTTAAAGGATTGGCTCGTTAGGAAACGTTCTGGATCTCCAAACCCTGCCACTAGAGGGGAGGCTCTGCTTAGAAACCAGCAGCAGCAGCACGGGGCTGACTCTGACCCTCCTGCGCCAGAGCTGCTGACAAAGATGAGGCTGATGGGGTTTTCAGAAATGTGCTTTTCAACAGTTCCTTCCCCAAATAACCTTCACATTGTGACTCTATAAATCAAAACGAGCCCAAAGAATTTAATGTTGGCAATATTTGTGGGTCTGCAAAACACTGCAGTGTGTCCAAAGTGAAACACAAATGTGAGCATCACCGGTAACAGTTCAGGATACGGCATCTGGAGCTCTCAAAGCCACTTTGCACATCGAGTTTCTGAAGACAAGCAGTGAAGGAAGTGCAAGGGAGAGGGGGCAGAGCAGGGGCTGGAATTACAAAAGCTGCTTCCACATTACCAAGGGGTTTTGTGCATAAACTGAGCAAAGCATCAGTCAAAGGAGAGCACTCGAGGACTGGGGCAGAGCTGCTGCTGAGAGCCTGTAACCAAATCCGTTGTTATAGAAGGTTACAGAGCAAAAGCAGTGGCAAAGCTGGAAGGAAAACCCACGTGTCCCAATTCCCAGGGTATGTTTGAGAATCAGCGCTGCTAAAGGATCATCCTGAGCCCTTAGAACACAAACCCACAGGTATTTAAATGTGACGTGGGAACACCGACTCACAGCATTGTAAGAAAGGAAACCGCTGAGGTCTGTTGACGTGGAAGTTATGATTTAACATCTGGTTTGTGCAGTAAAACAATCTAAAGGTTTAAAATAACGCAAGGGGCAGCCTTCTGAGTGCTCCATCAGGCACAGGCTTCCCCTGTGCAGCATGGCCAACGTCTGATTTCATTTGAAATGCAGGGGGGGTCTGCAGGAATGCAATAATCATTGATTCCGGTACCAGTTTTGTACCATGAGCCCGAGAGATGAAACCCACAGCCCACAGCAGCTCATGTTCATCA